CACCAAAGAATTCACTCGAGTTACGTTATTATAATTGCTCTATCATTCATCTTCCCAAATATGGCCGCACCAGGTAGCGTTACCAATAAAATACAAACGTCTCCAAATAATCACCATTCATTCGAGTGAATCACGGTAATTGAATTTGTTTGGGTGCCACCGATGACCGTCCATGCATTCGACGCGTTAATATTAGCAAATCCACCTCGGAATAGCTTCTCATTAGAGGATCCTTCGCTCCTCGGAGGATCTCGGCGGCGATGACGCAATGAGATGAAAGCACGATGGTCGAGGATTATAGATAGAGGGTGGACAGAAGATATAATTTCTGGGACGACAAAATAGTCGGTATGAGAACGTGAGGCAGACATCACGTGCTCAATTTTCCAAAGGCGTCACGTAACATGCGTTGCTCCACTCGCGCGGTCGACCCTTCTGTCCTATTTCAAACCCGAAGGAAGCTAATTTCCCTGACAGAGACGTTTCCATTCGGCCCCGCGCGCGCGCGCCGTCTTGTCGCTTGTCGTCGGCCGCAGCCCCCGGGGGAGAAAAAAGCCGAACTAAATCAATGTAGGACATTTATATTGGCTGGAAATCGCTGACTCTCTCGCCACCGTGGACACCCACCAGGACATATTAAGATTTCTGATCCGCCTTGCCGGCCGCCGGACATTTTTATTATTGCGTGTCCCACCGACACCCACCCCCGCCGTAGGGAAATAAAACGTGAATTATTGGCCACGCGGCGGCTCCTGGCTAAGGCCGCACGGACCTCTCGGGGCCATCGTCGCTTATCCCGGGTCAATTTCGTCGATCTCAATCGGAGGAATCGATTTTTCCCGATGATACATGGCGCTCCGACGATTTTATTGTAATTTCCGGTGGATCGCCGGAGATGACTGAATATTGAGACGATGTGTTTTCTTTTTCTTAGATTTTGAATATCTTTTGGATTGAGTTCTTGGATTAAGTTTCTGTCGTCTCCTATTAGACGTTTGTTCGTTTTAGAATGTTTAGAAATATTTGTTTCGTATTACTGAAGTTTGAAGCGAAGTTGCGTAATAATCGAAGTTTTCTCTTTGATGCGAGTTAGAAAATATTCAGTCTTACGAGAATACATTTGTCGTTATCACGTGGTCTAGTAAATAATCTAATGAACATCAAATGGTTCACAAGGGTAGTGTATACAACTTGCATATTTCTCAAATAAGTTTCATATAACATAAATCTCTAAATAGCTTCAAAGTCTTCTGCTAAATACATACAGAACATTTTCAGTTAATCATCACCGTCATTTCTACACATCAATCCCTAAATTCTCATGAAGCAAATACGCGTGCCGCAAATACGTCCCCTATCACTTTATTTCTCTCGATACCAAGAGAACATAGTAATCAAGATGTTTTTAATTAAATGAACGATCACAGATTGCTCTAACCCCTCTAAACGAAAGGGGAAACGTTCGAGGAAGAAAGCGGTGGGAGGGAAGAATTGAAATCGCGCGCGAGAGAGAGAAAGAGAGAGCGTATCAGAGCGGACGATGTCAAAGCAATTCATTTAAATTAATAGGTCCAGAGGCCGAGCGTTTATCGCGTGATTAGCAGCAGCTTTTTTTCTCTTGCCTCCCCCCACCCCGGACGGCCGTTCGTATTTGTAAGCCGTTATCGACTGCTGCCGCGATAAACTCGACGCTTTTATCGCGTACAATTATGTGCCCCGTCCTACCTCCTTCCACTCCCTCTCCCCTGCGCCCTGCACCGCCCCCTCCACCAAATCGAGCCAGATACGGATGCATCGGGAACGCTGTCGAAGATCTTTTGTTCCTCGGATCAGATTTCCCGCCGTCCTTTCGCGATGTTCACCCTTTCAACGGTGTGGGGGGTGGTTTTCACGAAGCGTTTGCGACTGCTTCAATAGCACTTGAATCTTTTTTTAAAACTCGAATCACAGGAATATAAAAATATTGTCGTCTCAACGAACGACATATTTTATAGAGAATATTCATTTATTTAAAATTTATTTATATACAAACGAAAGAAGCTGTTAATAATTCTGTCGTTGCAATTGTAATTTCACTGAATATTTCAGTTACAATAATTGCTCGAATATAAAATTTCCTTAAAATGAATTTATTATAAATTGAGTAATTTGATAATATTTAATAATTCGTGTAATGATCGTATTTCGTACGAATGCATAAACATCAGCCGAGATAATTTTGTAAATAAGATGCATATGAATTCGTTGCGGAAAGAGATCAATTATCATGACGAATATTACAAAATTCTCTACGCTATTTAACATTTCATTAAAGTTAAAGAAAGTCGAAAAAGGAATTAGCGCGGTCACCGAGGCTCCCCCAATAATTTCCCATGAATCGCAAGAGGAGGATCTAATCGCCGAAGGAATTATTCATTCCTTACAAGATAATCGTCCCAGAAACAATAGTTCGTTCTGTACGACCAGAAGCCATTAGAAGCCGGGACGACATAGACAGAGGCGAGGCGCAATTGTGTGAATTTGTCTGTCCTCAAAGCCGCTAGAGCCGAGGACAGGGCTATCAAAAAGACGACACCTAACGCGTCTTAGCCCCCTCAGCGTCGAACCGTCCTCTCATTGGCTCTTGGCTATACCCCTCCACGCTCGGTCAATCCGCACGTCTCGGCGCGCAGCCAAAGACCGCTCGCAGTCTCGCGTCACCCCTCGCGCGCTTCGGTGTCTCGTTTCCTCTTTGGTCGCATTTTCCACCCCTTGTCCTTCGTTCATCCCCGTTCAGTGTGTTTACAGTGCAACCAACAGCTTCGAGTGAAGTGTCCACTTCTGTCATCTCAACAGAAACCAAACAAAAGAAAGAAACGGAACATTAATTGGCTGTGAATATCTATGAAGATGGTTTCTCAATTTCCAATTTCCTATTATAGAAGTTGGCAAGAGTTTTCCGAACTTTATTTAAGTGAACTTCGACGAAAATAGTCTACATCCAAGGAATTCCTACCGAACTGACCAAATTCATCTCAATAAATCAGGAAGGAAGCATAAAACTGGATATTAATCTTCTGTGAACCTCCACAGGGGTGGTTCTCGAATGTTCAATCTTCACGGAAGTTGAAAAGAATTCTTCCACTGCGGGCTAAAATTCGAAGATTATAATTCTCCACGTTCGACGGCTTTCCAGTGAAGTGACCAATCGAAAACCAGGAGGAAACTAGACGTTGTATCTCTCGGTGAATCTCAACGAGGTGGTGGTTCCCAAATTTCCACTCTCCGGCCGAAAAGTTGCAAGGGATTCTTTAAACTCCAGGGTGAAATCCGACAACCATAGTCTTCGCGTTAACGGAAACTTGGCCGGTCCCTCACGGGTTGGTTCCCTGCCACTTTTCGGTTCCTGGCTGGCAGCAGGTGGAGGCGGAGTAAAGGGGAGGGGGTGGGAACCGCGGACAAAAGTTTTCGGCGCAGAGAGAGAGAGGAGGTAACCGGGGAGGAGCAGCCAGGGTAGAGGAGAAGGGAAGCGGCGCGGAATATTTTAACATATATCACGGCGAAATTGGGACGAGGGTATGCCGTCGCGAGACTCTCGAACCGCCGCCCGCCACTTTCCACCCCCGTGACCGCGTCCCGCTGTCGTAGATCGCCGGCCGCTCGTGTCCCGCGCCCCGCCGCGGCGATGTTGTCCCGCGACGCGATCTGACTTCCTCTCCACCCCCTCTTTCGTTCTCGCCCTGTACCCCGAATCGCTGGCGAGATGTTTGTGTGTCCGACGGACTACACCGGCTACAGAATGGTAAGTGAGAAGAGGGTAGTTTCGTGGTACGAAGGTTTTTCATCGATTCTGACACGGATTTGTTGTATTAGGATAATTGAAGGAGGTTTGAGAGTTTTGGCGATTTTTTAGGTGTTTTGGGTTAGGAGGAATGGATTTAGGATTTGCAATGTTTTCGAGAACGTTGATTGAAGAGTGATAGAGGAAACGAGGGTGGTTTTGTGGTACGAAGGTTTTTGATCGATTCTGATACGGTTTTGTTGTTGTTTAGATTAATTGGATTGAGGGTGTTTGAGGATTTTAGCAATTTTTGTGGTGGCTGTAGTTGGGAAGGGAAGATTCGGAATTTTTGGAGTTCCTGAAAATAGGGTGGATCGTTGTCTTTCATTAAAGAAGATAATTACACAGATTTTGAGTTGTATCTTTAAATCTGAGGCTTGTACATCTTTGTACATTTTTCAGTGCTTTATGGAAGATCGAGTTCATGTCTTTAATCTTACTTTCCTGACAGTTAATAACTGTTCCAGTAATTTCTAGTTATTGCAATAATCATAAACTTCGATGTATCTCTTAACGTTGCAAATGAATAATGAGTATTACACGTAAAGTGCAATGAAAGAGTTGCAATCATAGTCGAGAGAATCAGTGTCTCAATGTTTCATTAAAATTTATTTTACTAATGTTACAACAAAATCAATAAATTTAAAAGAACGAAGCGCCCTCAAGTTTAATGTCATCGAAGAGAACACTACCAAATCGAAAGTTACATTTTTCCGCGACACGTATTCTGTCATTTGATCCTTTGTCAGAGATGCAAATAAGAGAGATAAGAAGCGCATATAGGCGCATTAATTTAAGAAAGATATATAAATCGACGGAGCGATGATACTTTAAGTTTGACAAGTTTGAGGACCGAGGTGAATTATGCCTCGGAAATACTTTGATCCTTGAGTCGCGAGAAAATCGTCGTTCTGGCAACACGGTGATAATCCCTCTGCACATATTTTCATTGTGCCGTAAACGCTTGGCATTCTAACACTGACGCCATTGAGACGGTCGGCTCCGCTGTTGCAACGTGTTGCTCTGAAACTGCAACCGCGTGTCAATAATCCAACGATCGTAGGAGGGAATCGTGCGCCGTTGTGTTATCGATAAACTTTGCTCGACGTGATTTCGCTCTCGTTTAAATGCTTCTCTAATTTCCTTTTTAACCGATTCCGTTTTTATTGTTTTGTTGCAGTATGGCTCGGATGAATTCGGCCAGGACTCTCCGAGATACACTTCCCCTAAAGCTGCAGCCCTTTACGCTGACCCGTACTATATCGGTAAGTAAAATAAATGTGTTTTTCTTTCTTCTTACTTTGTAAAATAAAAAATTTGTGTTAAGAACACAAGAAAATTTCGATTGTGATACATTATTAGCTACAAACTTCATTTTGTACTAGATTTGAAACGGCCTTTGGCTGCACTTTGGCTTTATGTAATTTCTATTTTACACAAACTCTGCACTCCCGATTATTTTTGGATAATAGATAAATAACTGTAACAAATACACTAAAGCTGAAAATTACCTTGAGAAACGTACAACTGTCAGTTACATGATTCGAAAATGTGCATTCTGACGTGCACAGCTTCGTGATTCAACGTTGTCATCGAAACGTAAGCAATCGGCCCCCAAACCTCTGTCGTGACTAAGATTTTCTACGAAGAATCACTTGCGACTATAACCTCACTTATATAACCGATGCAACAATGGCTCCGAGGGAAAAACCTTATACAGAATAAGTCATAACATTTACACATCTCAAAAAATCACAAAGAATTCTTATTCGTCAATCAGTCGGCTGATGAATCCCCCTAAAACCATTCCATTTAACAGCACCACAAAATCCGTATCGCTCTTCATTAATTTAATACATCGTACGAAATTAACTGCTTTTCGATTGACAATAAAACGAAATTCATGAATGAAACACGAAGAAAAATAGCTGCCGAATGACGGGGAGCCAACTCCTGAAACTCGAAAGCTCCGCCGACGACCTTGAAATTGTTAACAATAAAGCAGAATGCCCACGCATTCAGCATCCGCAATAAAGTCCCGAAAAATAAAACCGAAACCGTCGAGTTCCCGTTGGCCAGCGCCGCTGGGAGCGGCATCGATCCAGCGATCGATCCGCCGATCCGAACGCGGTCGCAGGTTCGCGCATACCGAACCGGCGCGTGTACATCTATATCCGGCGGGAATCGCGTAACGATTCGAACGAACGATAAAAGGGAGTTTACGATCGCAGTAATATTCAGCTGTTTAACGCGCGCTCGTAAAATTCGTCGCTCTGGCTGTCGCGC